AATTTTGTTGCAAACGGAATGTGAGAGAAAGCCTATACCTCTACGCCTGGTGGAAAGTCCTGACCTTTGACCTCTTCAGGCTACATTTAGCATGCAGGTTCACTACTGGTGCATTCTGTTGGTCTGGCTTGTTGACTTAAGAGCATGCTTTGGCTGGAGGTGAATATATATTCCAATCAATCACCATGACAAGCAGAGTACAAATCATTATAAGCATTTAATCTTCTTCAGGTCCTGTCTTTTTGCCTCATGAACATGACCTTACAATATTCAAAAGTTCAGTCCTGAGAACTGCTAAACAGCTGATGAATTTAATGTCAGGTCGTATTGTATCTTAGCAAGTTGCATATTCTCATCTGCATGTCCTGTATATACCAAGAATATGAAGTTGTGTTGGTAGGAAACATCCTTTGAAGACAAACATGCAAATAAGTTAAATAATCATTAGCTGATTAATTGCAGCATTTTCTTGAACTCAAACCAAGCAAAGAGTTTGCATGCTCTGAACCTTTGCTAACCACTCTTTGGACCTCCGATTGTTTCCATGTGTGGTGGCAGATTGTGTGTGGTGGTGATTCATTTGATTACAATAAATTGTTCTTCTGTTCCACTGAATGTTTACAAGAATACAAAACAGACAATTCACTCATTCATTTACCTCTGCTATCTGTTCTGAGAGCCCGTCTTATTAGTTTAGACAATACATTTGTGTCCAGCTGTGTTTGGTTAGTTGTAAGTATAAAATCTGTTTATGTTTCAGAGGCAGATAATATAGTGGGAAAACTGTGAAAAGGAAAGCTATCTTGGAAAGACATTCATTAAATCAAGCATTTTGTGTTTTTGCTAGAGGTCATCCAACTAAACAGTCTTAGAATGACATGCCTAAACTGTTTCACAAGCCATTAAACCCAGCTAATCAAATATATATAATATATATACTGCACTGCATTTATGGGCTCTGAAATAACACAAACGCTAATGTTAACGCTAAACACTACATGTTTTCCGGGAATGTAGTGTTTCTTTAAATGTCTATAATAAGCTAATATGATCATAGCAGCAAAACCGCAGTAAAACCATCCATCTGTCATCTTCTCCTACATCTTTAAAGAAGGTCTTTAAGAGGTAATGTTTGCTGGGTGGAGCACACACTGGTTAATGTCAGGTCGTATTGTATCTTAGCAAGTTGCATATTCTCATCTGCATGTCCTGTATATACCAAGAATATGAAGTTGTGTTGGTAGGAAACATCCTTTGTAGACAAACATGCAAATAAGTTAAATAATCATTAGCTGATTAATTGCAGCATTTTCTTGAACTCAAACCAAGCAAAGAGTTTGCATGCTCTGAACCTTTGCTAACCACTCTTTGGACCTCCGATTGTTTCCATGTGTGGTGGCAGATTGTGTGTGGTGGTGATTCATTTGATTACAATAAATTGTTCTTCTGTTCCACTGAATGTTTACAAGAATACAAAACAAACAATTCACTCATTCATTTACCTCTGCTATCTGTTCTGAGAGCCCGTCTTATTAGTTTAGACAATACATTTGTGTCCAGCTGTGTTTGGTTAGCTGTAAGTATAAAATCTGTTTATGTTTCAGAGGCAGATAATATAGTGGGGAAACTGTGAAAAGGAAAGCTATCTTGGAAAGACATTCATTAAATCAAGCATTTTGTGTTTTTGCTAGAGGTCATCCAACTAAACAGTCTTAGAATGACATGCCTAAACTGTTTCACAAGCCATTAAACCCAGCTAATCAAATATATATAATATATATACTGCACTGCATTTATGGGCTCTGAAATAACGCAAACGCTAATGTTAACGCTAAACACTACATGTTTTCCGGGAATGTAGTGTTTCTTTAAATGTCTATAATAAGCTAATATGATCATAGCAGCAAAACTGCAGTAAAACCATCCATCTGTCATCTTCTCCTACATCTTTAAAGAAGGTCTTTAAGAGGTAATGTTTGCTGGGTGGAGCACACACTGGCTAGCTGGAAAGGTAAATAAAAGCAGGCAAATATACATTAAACCAGTGTTGTTTATACGTATATGATAGAAAAAGTGTTTTCCAATTTTGGCAAAGGATAATATTTGTGGAAGCATTTTGTAATCCACCGCTGGTGATGCGCTAAGAATTTAACACTGTTTGGCTGCCAGTTTTAGCTACCCTTTGTTATTTCTGACATCAAATTGTCCATTGATGAGAAAAAGATAGATTCTTGCTTATAAAAACATTGGCGCTGGAAAAAGCCTGAGGAATCTGAGTGTCTGCCGTACTGGTGTTTGAGAATTCCCTCATATGAGCTTCACAGAGGAGAGCCTGTGTCTCAGACTTCTGGTATGTGATGCAGGGAAAAGTCACGATTACACCTACCAATAGCTAACAACCTCTCACATTGATTCACAGACTGTCGCCTGACTGGTGACATCATAGGAAGTTGAACCTGACGGCTGGTATTTTTCATACCAGGCCAGAAAAACAGTGTCCTTCATTGAAATCTATTAACCAACAGTGTTTCTGCTTCTCACAATTAAAGAATTCACATTTAATGGGTGGGATTCCATTTTGAAATCATTCCTTTCATTAGTCAGCGATTCCCAAAGAAGGCATCAGAGGAGTGGGGGAACGTCTCAGGGACGGGAAGGATCGGGGGAGAGACCCACAATGTGGTAAAGTCATTAAATCATTAAATCTTGGGGTCGTGGAAATGGAAAAGCACACCATAGGCTCTTTGATCGCTCTCAAAGGTCCATCTTTAAACCTGCTTACCGTGGTTGCCATAGTAACATGGCAAATATACAAATATCGGTGATTCTGGCACAGACCTTTGCAGCAACATAGGGGACAGCTGGCACGTCATAAAAGGAGAATTGAATGCTAATAAACTATTCTAGAGCAGCAAACTTTGGAGAGGAATGTGTGACCTGTGGTAACAGACCTTAACTTCCTTTTATCCAAGAGATAAAGTGACTGAGAATGTTCACCAAGAAGGGAGAAAGAGTAGAACCTCAACTCAAAACTGAATTTCCGGATATGACAAAGAAATGTGGTCATTTGTTTAAGACTGGTTCTGGATAGGATTCTTGGCTCTTCTGATGGGGAAACGCTGTGGTTCTGATGATACAGTGTGGTTTTTGGAGCACATTGTCATTCTTTGAACCCTGCAACTCCTAAAAAGTCATTTCAAAGGCATATCTGGGTCTTTCTTAAACCCAATTACCACCAGCAGACCCAGAGGCAGATAATATAGTGGGAAAACTGTGAAAAGGAAAGCTATCTTGGAAAGACATTCATTAAATCAAGCATTTTGTGTTTTTGCTAGAGGTCATCCAACTAAACAGTCTTAGAATGACATGCCTAAACTGTTTCACAAGCCATTAAACCCAGCTAATCAAATATATATAATATATATACTGCACTGCATTTATGGGCTCTGAAATAACACAAACGCTAATGTTAACGCTAAACACTACATGTTTTCCGGGAATGTAGTGTTTCTTTAAATGTCTATAATAAGCTAATATGATCATAGCAGCAAAACCGCAGTAAAACCATCCATCTGTCATCTTCTCCTACATCTTTAAAGAAGGTCTTTAAGAGGTAATGTTTGCTGGGTGGAGCACACACTGGCTAGCTGGAAAGGTAAATAAAAGCAGGCAAATATACATTAAACCAGTGTTGTTTATACGTATATGATAGAAAAAGTGTTTTCCAATTTTGGCAAAGGATAATATTTGTGGAAGCATTTTGTAATCCACCGCTGGTGATGCGCTAAGAATTTAACACTGTTTGGCTGCCAGTTTTAGCTACCCTTTGTTATTTCTGACATCAAATTGTCCATTGATGAGAAAAAGATAGACTCTTGCTTATAAAAACATTGGCGCTGGAAAAAGCCTGAGGAATCTGAGTGTCTGCCGTACTGGTGTTTGAGAATTCCCTCATATGAGCTTCACAGAGGAGAGCCTGTGTCTCAGACTTCTGGTATGTGATGCAGGGAAAAGTCACGATTACACCTACCAATAGCTAACAACCTCTCACATTGATTCACAGACTGTCGCCTGACTGGTGACATCATAGGAAGTTGAACCTGACGGCTGGTATTTTTCATACCAGGCCAGAAAAACAGTGTCCTTCATTGAAATCTATTAACCAACAGTGTTTCTGCTTCTCACAATTAAAGAATTCACATTTAATGGGTGGGATTCCATTTTGAAATCATTCCTTTCATTAGTCAGCGATTCCCAAAGAGGGCATCAGAGGAGTGGGGGAACGTCTCAGGGACGGGAAGGATCGGGGGAGAGACCCACAATGTGGTAAAGTCATTAAATCATTAAATCTTGGGGTCGTGGAAATGGAAAAGCACACCATAGGCTCTTTGATCGCTCTCAAAGGTCCATCTTTAAACCTGCTTACCGTGGTTGCCATAGTAACATGGCAAATATACAAATATCGGTGATTCTGGCACAGACCTTTGCAGCAACATAGGGGACAGCTGGCACGTCATAAAAGGAGAATTGAATGCTAATAAACTATTCTAGAGCAGCAAACTTTGGAGAGGAATGTGTGACCTGTGGTAACAGACCTTAACTTCCTTTTATCCAAGAGATAAAGTGACTGAGAATGTTCACCAAGAAGGGAGAAAGAGTAGAACCTCAACTCAAAACTGAATTTCCGGATATGACAAAGAAATGTGGTCATTTGTTTAAGACTGGTTCTGGATAGGATTCTTGGCTCTTCTGATGGGGAAACGCTGTGGTTCTGATGATACAGTGTGGTTTTTGGAGCACATTGTCATTCTTTGAACCCTGCAACTCCTAAAAAGTCATTTCAAAGGCATATCTGGGTCTTTCTTAAACCCAATTACCACCAGCAGACCCTCAGGCTTGGTTTACCAGCTCTGAACTTGCATCTGCACTGCTTATCAGTAAAATCCCCAGTGACTAAGCACTTAATAAACTAGCATTACATGAACCTAGAGTTGACGTACCTCAACATTGTTGTTCATGGTATTGATGAACCTGTGGCCAGGGATGCGCTTCTGATTGCAAATCACCCCAACATCCTCGCTGTGTCGGCAGTCTGACACCCCAAAGCCATTTGAGGGGCATTCGGCTAAAGATTTCTCTCCTCCTGTGCAATGGACGTTGTCCAGCCAAATGCGTCCTGTGGAACAAAGAACAATTGTTGGTTTTGTCAATCACCAGCAGATGTTGTGTATTGGAAGATGTGTTGGTGTTGCTACCAGGCTTCTTAATTCACTTAAACGAACAGTTCAACTCTCAAAATGTACTGGGTTACTCTACCTTATCTATTTCAAAACCTGTATGACCTTAAAAACTGTGAGTTTCTGAAGAATATTCTCTAAAAATCACCATAAAAGTATCATTAAAGATGTTCACACAACTTCTGTGCTATATTCCAAGTGTTCTGAATGTCAGACCAGTCAAACCAAAATAATTCAAAAGTTCACTTAAAATCGTGACATCTGCATGAATTGTTCTTTTAAGGCTGGAATAGACTACATGACTTTTGCCCCGATTTACAGTCTGAACAAGTTGATGCTAATTGCTGAAAGTCAGAGCCAGTCTGCAGAATTGAGTTGAAAGATTTCATAGAAAATCGTGTAGTGTATGATGGTCACAGACTCCGATTTTTCCTGCGTCAGACTATGAATCCATCCAGTCGGAGGATATCAAACATGTTTGATATTGTCAGCCTATTTTAGAGCAAATAGAGCCAGTTTCAAAGAAAATGCTTAGGCCTAGTCCCAGACTAAAATGCATGTCTAGGCTGAAAGAAACTTGCACTGACATATCTTAAAATATGTCAAAAAAATGTCTTAAAAGATGCAAACCAGTAATGTTTATTTCTAAGGCATGTTTATAAAAACTACTTAAATGTCCTAATTGAACTATGGCCTAATCCTGGCTTAATCTAAACCCTGTCTGTGAAACCAGGCCCTATTGTTTTAATTTGTCACGCGTCTCCTCGCAACAAGGCGCATGACTTTGTTGTGAACATAAGGACTTTAAGTCTGCTCGATTTTTAGACGGCGTTTTGTAGTACAGACGGCGTAAATTACGGCATTTTCACAGCAGAACCACCATTAATGTCGGCGTTTATTGATGCAATCCAAAACGCCGTTAATTTTGCCATTTGGCCATCCATAATACGTCGTAATTTACGGCGCTCCGTTTGACAAAGACGGTGTCTCTAATGTTTAAAACGCCGCAATTGACAGCGTTTTGGGTGGTAAAGAGCGGCGCAATGGACGGCGTTTATGGATGTTTAAAACGCCGCAATTGACAGCGTTTTCTGTAATGTAAAAGCGCCGTAAATTACGCCGTTTAAGGGATAATGAACGCCGCAACTGACAGCGTTTTTGATATTACAGATATTTTACAACTAAAATATTTAAAAAATATATGTGTTTTCTGCACACCAGGCGTCTGGTTAATGGCGAAATGTGACCCGTTTGGCGTTCCATAGTGTAACCACAAGAACACACACACAGATTATGCTGCGGCCCAACAGACAAAAGCTCATCTATCAGTTACATTAACGCCTTTACTCCATCGTTTATTCTTCATTTATTTATTTTACATGTGTATACTAAAGGTCTCTGTGTTCAGGTTTACAGGGAAATGAGAGCCAGTCTAAGTAGCAGGACCCCCAGCAGCAGGACAGGGCTGGAGCTCAGGCTCATGGTGGCGTCGTGGAGATCCCCATGGCTGTGGGACTGGTAAGGGCCGTTACAGTCATCATTGAAGCAGCATTCCAGCTTCATCTCACCATTGCTCATGTGAGACTTGTCACAGAAAGACTTGTAAGCACATGACTTCATCACAGAGTCTGCGGTGAGGGAAACACATGGTGGTACCACAAATCAACACTTAAAAAAACATCTGCTCAGTCCAAACATTGCTGAAGGATGCGTCAAATAATCCATGTTTGGTTTGCACATTTGGTTGAGTGTGTGTGCAATCCAGCAGAAACAGTATTATGTAATAGTGATGACCGGGGCTAGTTGTCACAAGAGTTTTGTCCCATTAACTGCAGGTTGAGTCATAACTGTTTGTTTTCTGTAGCAGTGGTTTTGTATATCGGTTTCAAACATAGTCTTAAATCAGCATCATTTTTATGAATTCAGTCTTCCAAACGAAAATTTCATGTTTTATTTTCAAGCCATATTGTATCGTGGATTCGCGTCACAACCAATATTCTATTCCTGTGTCTGTGTCTATACAGAAAATGCCTTTAAACACACACACACACACACACACACACACACACACACGAGTAGAGTAAAAACGTGTGACAACTAGGCCCGGTCTCTTCTATATTAAACTGAAACACAGCACAGACATGGTCAAGAGTGATGTCACCCCCAAGTGGTCAACATGGGAATTGCAATATGAATCACTGTATTCAGTGTGTGCATGTACTCACTGGATCCTGTGATGGTAGAGCAGGCATCTGCATGAGCAGGACACACAGACGAGCCCTGCCGGTGACACTCGTCCGGGTTAGTAGCTACACAGGTGTAACACTTCAACCCCTCACCTTCACACATCGGACAAGACAACACAGCTGATCTGAGATTAAACCGCTTCAAACTCTATACAGATACTAATAAGAATTTCACAAGGACAGTAGGAATATAAAACGATTTATGTTTTGCTATCCGCTGTATAATAATTACTGTTGCTTCGTTGCAAAAATGTATAGAAAATTTAGATTTAATTTATAGTAGGCTATATCCTTATTACATATTTAATACATATTTATTATAAACAATAACAACAGTAGTAATAGCCTCTTAATAATACACTTTTTGTATACATGTATACACCGATTTCTCATGTGTGACAAAAAAATATGTTACCATTTTTGGATAACACTCTATTTTACAGTGTTATATGTACTTATAGTAATAACAGTAAATTATGCATAGTTACATCCAATAACCCAAAAAGGTGCATGTTGTTAATTAATATTACTCAGTATTTGATTGTATAATTATACTGTAACAATGACACCTTAAAATAAAGTAGGCTATAATCCATTATTATAAGTATTTTTGTAAAATCTCGATTACAGGAGTATTATCACTCAAAGTAATTGCAGGATTAAATGAATAACCATAAAGTGCAATGAAACTGTTTGGATCTGTTTGGTACTATGCAGATACTCACTGTGTAGCACAGCGGTGAACAGGACCAGCGCGGCGAGGAGAGTCTTCATGTTGAGGAGGTTGTATTAGAAAAGTGCTGGGACAGTGTGGAAGTCTTCACAACAAAACACTTCAGCACCTCTCCATAATCCTACAGTGAGCATCCATCACATGAGCATTACACCGGCTTAACACACACAACGCATCTGCGTAAGTAACAGCAAACGAGGGGAGAAGCAGGATGAAGGGGGTTGCACCAAGAAAGAAGGGAAATGATTTATGAACTGGATATTAAAATAGTTTTAATTCAGATTTCCTTTTAAAATTTAGTGCAAGACTTATGCAAATCAATTATACTTACTTTCACCAATTATATTTTATCTGTGTACAGTATATTTTCATATTTTGTGTATTTGCAGCACACCACTGTTTTGATTGAATTCATTGCAGTATATCTGTCCTCAACATAGGGGCAATCTCTTAGTGGGTGCACATATTAATATCCAGTCTACCCTGTCACCAGATATCCCTCTTAAGAAGAGATTAGCTATGCAACACAATCACAGCGTGAGAATTATTGAAACTATTACGGACACATGCATCTTTGCATCTTATAACACTTCTTTCAATTATTGCAACATTTGGTTTACAATAAGGTCCCATTAGTTAACAATGAGCAATAGATTTATACAGTATTTATTCATATTTGTTAATGTTAGTTAATAAAAATACCAAACTTCATGTTCAAATAATATTAAGAGAAGCAACTTTTGATTTTAATAAATGCTTTAGAATTTTTTTTTATTGTTAGTTCACGATAACTAATGTCAACAAACGGAAACTTATTGTAAAGTGTTATTAACCAAAATATTAAATTCTAAACCAGTTTGATCAAGCAAATTTTTTACTTTATTCAGGGAATGCATTTATGCACAAAATATATATTAGTCAACTGGATTTCTGTGCAACTCTCTCTCTCTCTCTTCCACTTTACAAACATTAATAACACAATAAAAGAGCATTATTCTTCTCATAAAAATATACACAGGTCAGTGAGTACTGTAAAGAACACCGACACGCTCCTGAAACGACAACATGACAATTTACAGGCTCGACTTCTCCACACGACCCATTAATGTTTGGCACACGGATAGCGGTTTCATTTGGCAGTTGGTTATTCTGAGCTGAAATATTGCATAAGATAGCACAAAGAAATTGTGGGTAAAAAAAAAAAAGAAACAACAGCCAATAGAAAGCATCACTTCAGCATTAGGCACATACTTTAGCAAGTCTGGCAAAAGATTGTCAATTCTTGAAATGTCTTCATTGAATGTTTTGAAAATGATTCGGTCCAGTCGACACAGCACAACAAAACAGAGAGTAAACTTGTGATAAACTCTGTACTTCATGCAGACTTTGAAACCAGAATAATTCATTAATAAAAGAAAGTTTAAGTGCTTTCAGTTAGGTTTGCTTTTGTGTTGTCAAATTTTGCAAGCAAGCATTTGATTGGATGATTATGACCTCATGGCTAGAAATAAGTAACCCATCAGAACATCTAGTAACACCATGAGCTCGCTTAATATGATAAATTATGATAATTTGGCACCTAAACACACAGAGAGTAAGAAAACAATGGATGGAACTACAACCGTCTACAAACTCTCTTCAACAGAAGCTTTGAATATGCAAAAAGCTACTCCATGAAATAATATTCCAGGTTCAATACAAGTTAAACTCAACAGCATTTGTGGCAGAACGTTGACTAATATATCATTTTGAATCGTCCCTCTTTTTCTTTAGAAAAAAAGCAAAAATTCAGTCGATGGTGAGGCACTTACAATGAAAGTGATTGGGGCAATTTTTGGTCGATTTAAAAGAAATTTTCAGCTCATAATTTAAAAGCACTTACATGAATTCTTTTGTTAACGCTTGCATATTATTTGAGCTCTACAGCTATTTAAGTCATACTTTTTTGGTTTTAGGATTTAAGACTTTATGTTGACATGTCAACATAATAGTAAAATGGTTTTCAACCATACACAGAAAATCTTAGCAACCAATTTCACACTAAAATCATGTTAATATGCATATTGTTTACTTCTTGTAATTAGTGAATATTGTAATGTTTATATTTACATTCACTTCCATTGTACAGGAAGTGCCTTACTGTAACCCAGATTTTTGCTTTTTTTTTTTTTACAGATGAATTTTCATGGTAATCAACATTACACCACCAGTGCTGTCAACTGATCTTGTACTGAACTCGGGATATTTCTTAAACTTGTATCAGGACCTCTAATATATAACAAAAAAAATTACACAGGTTACAGTACTTTCCAATGCAAGTAATGGAACTAAAAAGTTGCAAATAACATGATTTGCTCCCTCCATTATAAATAGCAGCAGTGCGATCATGTAAACCATGAACAAGGCCAATGACCCTCATCCCATGTCTGTTCCTTTACACCTGAACACACACCCAGAGGGCTCTCCCAAACACTCATACACACAGCTGCCATAACAGCCAGCAGAAAGTCATCAGAATGAGATATGTGGGTGGTTTTTCCCACCCTCTTCAAGAAACATTTTATTCCACCACTTATCAGTGTGTAAGTCCAACATCAGCACTTTATGAATCTGTAAAAACATTTGGGACTTTTATTTGATTCTTCAGCTCATATCTTGTTTCTTCCAGTGCCTGAGCCAGACCCATGGAAAAGTGACTCCTTTCCAAAACGAGAAAAATAAAATAAAATGGGAGATCCAGTGGCGTTCTTGGTCAGGGTGGGTTCTCCTTCCTCTTAGTCCGTGGTGCCCATTTTTGCAATGAGCTCATCACAAATCTTAGTAAGCTCTTCAATCTCTTGATTCTGGAAACAATGTGGATTTTAAATAATGCTTTCTTAGAAAACTAAAAAGCTGATTTGATGTTACAGCATGTGTTATATTGCATCGGCTGTGGGTGACGGTGAATGTGTGAGAGTTTACCTTCGGTTCGATTGCCCGCTCCAGGGACTCCACCTTCATCTGCTCTTTTCTCAGGCTGGCGTTCAGCGCCACGCTCTCTGCGTTGGCCTTAGTTCGCACCTGAGCTATTTCCTCATTCGCTCTGCAAAAACATACCCATATCAGAGATCAATCAATAGTGTAAAATACATTAGATTAAAGATCAAATGCAGACGGGAAACTGATGAATCACTTTAATGCTAAATATCGTCCTTACTTGTCAAGTTTCTCCTCTGCGTGGATTTTGAGGGTCTGATAACGTTGTTCCTCCTGCCTGACGCGTGTGAGGTAGTCCTGAGCGCACTTCTTTAGCACTTCCTCATTCTGACAAGAGA